CGACCAGAAACAGATCAAAATCCGGCGACTGATACCATAATATGATCTATGAATTCAGATTGAAGAGATAGAGAACGAGAGAGAGAGAGAGAGAGCGGATATGAAAAAGAAGAAAATGAACTTGTATTGAATTAGGGTTTTTACAATGTAGCTTATATAGTATAGGGTTAAGACTAAAGGTGCAAAATATAAAGTAACACTTTTAACAATAAAAGATACAAATGACAACTTCAACTACAAATGACTACTTTGACCCTATATCTTGTTACAATCATTTATTATACATAATAAAGGTGAGGTGAGTTATTTATTATTAAAATAAAAACATCATATATATATAAATAAATAAAATTTTATTGGTGAATGGTAATTTAAAAACAAAATGTATAATGGACGCAATTGCATGAGCCCATTAAAAAAATTAACTGAAACAATGAAACCCAGGAAACAACTTACAAAAAACCCAAAGCCCAATATACAAATTGCTCAAAGCCCATTGCTTCGATATTCCATGTAGGAATAATTATTCTACACCTCGACCTGCAAAACCCTACCTCTTCCAAGGCGAAACCCTAGCTCCACGGCTCCGCCGCGTCCCACTCAACCTTCGTGGTCGGAATAATTCGTAGCTTTGGTAATCTCGTGAGCTTCTCATTTTTTTTTTTTTCTTACGCTATTTATAGAAACACATTCCTTGGGCAATTTGATGATGCTTTAATTAATCTGTTAGAAGAAAAAAAATTCCATTGATGTTCAATTTTGCCCAACTGAAATTTCACCATCTTTATACTTCCGTAGAACAATTTCTCATTTTAGTTTGTTCCCAAATTTTGATTTGATTCCTTTTTAGCTCAGCCAATTGCTCTAGTGAAGGTGCGCACAAAAAAATTATAATATTTGATTGGTTGGTTTTAAGCTGCTGAGGTTCACTCATCTTGCATGCATTTCTAGGGTCAGCTAGGTGAAAATGAGCTTGATATCTCAAAATGCCGTGCCTAAGGAGCTCATCAAGAAGAAAAAGAAGGTAACTAATAAAATTGAGATCACTATTAGGTTGATTATAGAAAGAAGATTGTTATGTGGCAGTCAGCGGAAGCTCGTCTGACCGCTTTCAATCCTCACAAGCCCTGCTGGGGTGCTTCTCATACCACCGGGCTCCCAAACAGCTGGCCGAACTCTCGGGCTGATCCCAACAGCACTCTTAATCGCTCGATTTAGCCCGTATCAGTCCCAAATCAACCTGAAAGCTCATACACAAAGCAATGGTGATCACAGGGATTAATTTCAGTGTCTTTAACAATGAACATATTAAGTGTAATAGCTGAAATATAATAAAGTGAAGAGGAGGAACGAAAAAACCTCCCTTTTGACCGGACGATTTTCGAAGAGGGACACGAAGTCGGCTCAGATCGACCTTGAACCCGGTACCCTCGGTGAGTCACGACTCGATGGTGGTCAAAGTCGGCGACCCTGGTTCCTCAGCCCGCTTCCCGGATTGCACCTCGTCATCCCCAAACCACGCAAGTGAGGAGTACTTATGGTGTAGGATGAGTGGTTGAGATTTAACCCTAAATCAACGGTCTAGATAAATCTTGCTAGGTAAATTGAGTGTGAGGGCCAGGCCAGACGAGATTGGGCCGAGACGTCCACGAGCCTGAGATGAGATAGGTAATTGGACTGGGCCAATTTTCCAACATTTCTCCATCGATTTGGCCCACCATTGGATACTGGACACTTTCACTTTTATCATCGCCGAACGACACCTGCAATTTTCACAGTGGCTCTCACAAAGACGAGCTTCCGTTGTCGATGGCTGGAGCGGTGGAAACAGGACGACCACACAACAGTGGTATCAGAGCGTGAACCGTCCCGTCACCGTGCTGGTAAGTCGAGCTCCTAACACGTAAGACTCGCTCTGGTAAATTGGCTTGAACTCGACTCTTTTACCGCTTTCGTAGTTGTAACCCTTGGCTGGGGATTGCTTGTTGGGAATTAGCTGCTAGAATACTAGGTTAGACAAGCATGTGTTAATTGTGTGCTTATCTTTATTGTTTTTAGCATGTGGCTATTCTCATTGTTAGTAGCATTAATTTAGTAACATTAAATTCTGTTAATGCTACTAACAATGAGAATAGCTACAGACTCAGAACAACAAGAATAAGCACACAATTAACACATAACACATGCTCGTCTAACCTGTATTCTCGCATCTAATTCCCAACAAGCATTTCCAGGCCAGGGGCTACAACTACAAAAGCACAACTATGAAAGCAGTAATAGAGTTCAAGCCAATTTACCAGAGTGAACCCTACGTGTTAGTGCTCGACTTACCAGCGCGGTGGCAGGACGGCTCACGCTCTGATACCACTGTTGTGTGGTCGTCCCGTTTCCATCGCTCCAGCTATTGGCAGCGGAAACTCGTCTTTGTGAGAGCAACCGTGAAAAGTGCAGTTGTTGTTCGACGATGATGAAAGTCCTTCGGTCCCTCAAGGTGTCCGGTATTCGGTGGTGGGCCAAATCGGTGGAGAAATGTTAGAAATTTGACCTAGTCCAATTACCTATCTCAGGCTCGTGGACGTCTCGGCCCAATTCCGTCTTGCCTGGCCCTCACACTCACTTTATCTGGCAAGATTTAGGGATTAAATCCCAACCACTCATCTTACACCATAAATACTCCTCACTTGCCACTAATCAGATATTACACTCTCCTCTCTTACAGCTGATGCGCCCTCTGTGAGACTAAAATCTTGATCTCTTAATTCCTTCACTCTCCATTCTTCGTGACCTTAGGTGTGTGAGAGCCAAGCGCCGTCTCTGTTCGCCGGTTCAAGCCCTTGCGAGGTGCTTTCCGGCGAGCTTTTTTGTGAAGCAGAGACCTTGCTACGGAGTGGCCGGGTGCGTGGCTTGTGGGTGACGAGGTGCAGCCCGGGGAGCGGGCTAAGGAATCAGGGTCGCCGACTTTGACCACCATTGAGCAGTGACTCACCGAGGGTACTGGATTCAAGGGCGATCTGAGCCGACTTTGTGTCCCTTTTCGAAAATTATCCGGTCAAAAGGGAGTTTTTTTCGTTCATTCTCTTCACTTTATTATATTTCAAAGATGAAGTTAGATGTTAGGAGTCGAAAGGGCGAATAGAAAAGGACGAGCTAATAGAAATCGAGCAGGAAGAGGAAGAAAAAAAATGCTAGAGGACATTTTATTTGGCTCCTTGTACAATAGGGTAGGAATCGGGAACGATGTTGATCATCATGATGAAGGAGAAGATGGAGAGGAGTTAGTCAGCAAATAGCTTGCTTTCTGTGTACGTATGCAAAGAATGAAGGGAAACCAGTGTGGGTAGATGATGAAGAGGAGAAAGCTAGTTTAAACATAGCTAAAGTCAACAAATTGCGAACACTCAGGAATGAAGAAGGGGCAAAAGTGTAAAGTTTCTAGCTGTGCGTACGGCGCATCATACATATTAAGATTCAAAGGAAGAAATTGGAGGAGTGGTATTGGTCAGTGGTTACAAGAATCTTGAAAGAAAACTGATACTATCCTCAAAGAACATATGAAGAACTTGTTGTGAAGAGGGGCACAAAATTGTTACAGGGGCTTTTTCGAGTATTCGAGGCTGATCGATGCAAATGTGAAAGGACCCTGCAAGAGGGCCCATCTTTTCTGTTCAGTTTCACAAAAATCGGACATTGAGATTCTTTCAAGTTGATGGCAAGAATAATGAAATTATTCGGAGTCTTGAAGATTGTCCGGTAAGAAAGGAGGCATTTTTGCTTGATGGATTATATCGGGAAGGAGGAAATTCGCTTATGGTTTCGACTTAGTCAATGCCTGGGTGGATAAATTCAGGCCTTTTGCAGGTAGGGAGGAGAAAAGCTTGGAATGGTACATTCTGTTAGTTGCATCGAGAACTAAAGAATTAATTGGAACGTCGAAAATGAATGGTTCGGTTAGGTCAGTGGCGTTTTCGAATGAATGGGCAAAAATTGCTTAGTTCGGGTGGGAATGAGAAGATTTGTGTCGATCTGTGCAAGCTTTTGCATACTTTTTATTGTTCTCTTTAATTTTTTTTTCTACAGCAATTTTGCAAGGAATAGTTTTTGTTCAGTTGTTGAATTTTATGGTTGGTTGTGCTTAAAAAATAGTGGTAAATGAATTATGCACTATTGAACTTGTTTGGTAATAAATAATGAAAGTCTCTCATCAGCACGTAGGTCAGATTTTATTAATTATTTTGGAATGTGAAAAATGTGGATTTACAAATAAATCTAATTATGTCTTTGATCTGATTCGGGTTTGAAGTAAAAGTATATTGAAACGAAACTATCAAAATCAAGACTCCAACAATCTTATGAAATTGGAATTTAAAAATTTGAAATGATTCCTCCTTTTACTAGTATTTTATTATGTATTTAAAATGGAATGAGTAAAAAAATGAAAAAAAAAACCGTCTAAGAAGTTATTTATATAATAAATTTGATATCATGGGACTAAATTTATTTCTACTATAAACTAAAATATCCATTTATTTTGTCTAAAAATCTAAGACATGAAAATATAGCAACACATGGTAAAATACATAAAGTTTGTGAAGAGACGGACATTTTTTTCTTTTTTTTTTTAATAAAAATCCCATTATTAGGAATAATTTTAGTCGTTACTCATTCACATTTAACTTTTTAAATTCAAATATAATTTCACCCTTCATTTAAAACTCTACAAATCTTAAACTATGATGGAAACGTAGGAGGAGTAATTCTAACTCGATTCATTAAGGCTCGAGATTATTTAAACCTCGTTAAAATATGAAAATATGAAATTTCTTAAAATTATGCTCAAGTTCGATTCATTACAACTTCAACTCAATTCGTTAATTTTAATAAACGAGTCGAGCTCGTTTTGCTAAACTGAGTTGAGATAATACTGAATTTAGAATCCATTCTTCTTCATACGTCTCACACATCTGAATAAAAAAAGCATGAAAAAAAAGGTCATATTCACGATGATTATTATTATGCCCCAAAAGCCCTTCTCTTTCTTTTCTCTCTCCTTTCGCATTTCGTTTCGCCCCCAACTAAACACGCACTCACACACACACAGACACGCACTCGCAGACCACCCACCGGCCGCCACCACCGCCCTCGAGCTTCGAGCCCACGTTCTTCTTAGCCCCAAAATCACCTCTTTTTCTGAATCATTCCTCAGATTTACAGGTTCCGCAACCGTTAGCCTCTTCGCAAAGCTCCATACTACAATCCCTCACCTCAATGCTTGCTGATGGTTGTGCGCATCCGTGATTATTAACTGTGGGTTTTGGTTTTGCGATTTGTAATGCAGATGCGCGGGGCCGAGAAGGAAATGGACGTAAATTCGATCCCTTGTTTGTGAGTTCGGCGCTAGCATGCACCGCGTGACGGCGTGAGAGACGTGGGATTTGAGAGCTGGAGATTTATTTCGTTTAATTCGGGTGAAGTTGGGCGATACGATGGCGCATCAAGAGGTGAGTGTGAAACGGGAGACGGTGGCGCCATGCATGACTTGCCCTCTCTGCCACAAGCTCTTTCGGCAAGCCACCACTATTATCGAGTGTCTCCATACTTGTAAGTGCCTTTATTCTTCCTTAATTTTCCTTAATAGTTCTAGATTAGTGATTGTATTGGTAATTAGGTTGGGATTAGTTCAAATTAGAATATATTTTTTGTCCAGTTTCGTGTTTTTGGCTGGCTTTTAGTGTTGCAGAGATAATTTGTGAATTTGAGCTGTTTGGAGTTTCTTCATTCGAATTGGTTTGCATAGTAAGCTGTGTGGGTCTTTTCTTTAGTTTTTTGCTAGTAGGGATTTGTCAGTTTATCGAGGTGTTCATGTGTGCTGGATTTCTGAGTAAGACAGTGATAAGATTGCTAGATGAGGTATTATCCTTTTTGCTGTACGTGTAGTGTTATGAATTGCGAAAGGAATGTTGAATCATTGATTGGAAGAGGTGAACTGTTCTCAGTATTTTTAATTTTATTTATTTTTGGTTTTATTTACCTCGTAAAGTGAGCTGCTTTGAGACTCTTTCTTACTAGAAGCCTTTTAAATTGACCAGTGCTGATCTTGGATGGAAAATGGGGACAAAGCAGTAATAAATCTTAACTTTTGTTTCAAAGCATGGCAGAGCAATCTGAAGACTTTGGGGTGTCCTTGATATCTATCTACTGATGTTTGAACGTGAAAATCATCTAACTGCTCAAGTTGATTGATATAAAAGACTTTTCATTGGTATAATAATATCTTCAGTAATTTGTTAGTTATCTTCAACAATTTGTTGTGAGAGGTATACTAATGTTTTATGCCTAGTTATGGCCCGTTTCCATCATTCTATGCCGTAGTTATCATCGGAATATTGTAGTCAATTAACTGACCTGGTTTTTTCACATTCCGAGTTTTCGATTTTGTAATCTGATTTATCTTATTTCCTTTTTGGTTTTATATATGATATCTTTAGCAATCTTATATCATGTCATGTTCTATGAATATTATTTAGTTTGCAGGAAATGCATATATGAGAAGCTATCAGATGAAGAAATGGAGTGCTGTCCAATATGTGATACTGACCTGGGATGTGTTCCGTTGGAGAAATTAAGGTTAGAGCTTTTAGCCTCTTTTGTTACTCTAACTTGATCAAGTTGTTTCGTTTCTTACTTAAAAGCCTCAAAGGCTCACGTATATGCACAAGATTACGTAAGTTTGCATAATTTTATGTAGTTTTTTCTAGTCCTTCCCTGAATTGATATCATATTACGTGTTTGGAAACTGAAGGCATATAATGGTTTGTGCATTCTAATTCTGAAATAGCAGTTCATACATCTCTAAAGTCAAATTCTTTAACTCAATTAATCCAATTTGAAATAAATATGCACTCAAAATCTTAGAGAATATAGCTTCTGTCATTAGTTTTAATTATTATAAAATACCTTCTCCTGTATGTTATTCCCTCAAGGTTCATGAACTTGTGGCTGGTTAATAAATAGACCAAATGGGTCAGTCTGATTCAACCAAAAACATGTTTGTTTATATGGCTGAATCTCTCAATGAAAATAGATTAAAAAGCCGGTTGAATCAGCTGATCATGGTTTTAGATTTCCGATATTTTGTTATTTCCTGACTTCCTGTGATTGTTATTCTCTGGAAAATGAGTTACACTGTTATTTGGTATGATTAAGTAATTGGTACAATTGGTGTTTATTCGAGTTGTTGGACATCTGTGACTAATTGAGTTGTTAATTGGTTTGCTCATTTGGTCACTTTTTAGAACAGGACTTACAATTCCAATTTCAAGCTACTACCCTAATGAAATTTCTGGCTGTCCGTGGTTAGATCTATGCACATACAGAGACATATGAAACATATTATCAATACAAATACGCTTCTTCTTAATGTAGGTGCTTGTACTCAATTGACAGTTAAACAAGACAGTCACATTTGTGTAGTTTGTCAGGCTTAGATGTAGAAACTGTGAGAATGGCATATGAGGCCGAAAACGTTGTTTAGCAGAGTCCACAGACTAAGGATTATAATCGAGTGACTACATTTTGTTGTATAAACTTCTTATGTTTTTGGTTGGCATCATGTATTCAATGAAAATTGTACATAAAGAGGAAAAGGCATTGTTACATATCAATCACAGGCTAATCTGCCTTTGCATCTCATTGGTGACCTCTTATTTGCTCTTCCATTATGTTTACACCACTAGATAACTAATGAATATATATTCGGAGGGGAAGGAAATGAAATTATTTATCTTTAGCCTTTAAAATATTTCTCTCAGGCCGGATCACAATTTGCAAGATGTAAGAACAAAAATATTTCCTTGTAAGAGGATAAAGGTGAACTCCCCTGAAGTGGTGACTCCTGTTGTGTTGCCAGCCAAGAGAAAGGAAAGATCCCTCTCATCATTAGTAGTCAGCACCCCAAGAGTATCAACACACACTGGGATGACTGGAAGGAGATCGAAATCAGTTGCAAGAAAAGCATCCAAGGGCTCCAGTTTCACCATAGTTAAGAACACTGTTGATGATCCTCGTGAGAGTTCTGGCTCACCAGAGATGCTGAACAAATTAACTCAGCATATTAGGCAGGTATGGTGTGTTAATTTCTAAAACGTGTCAAAAAACCTGTACATGACTCTTGTATGTGCTCCATAGCCTTGTTCACATGTAAAAATGGTTATTTGCAAAAAGCTTAATAATAGAAAACAACTCGATAACATTAAATATGCCATTGAGATTTTGCGTTTACCTCATAAATACCCTCGTTTGAGAGTCCAATTTGCAAAAGAAATAAATGCTATGGGATATTGTAAAATTGAAGATTAAATGCGTCTTTTTTTGTTAGGCTAAGTCTGAAGGGTAGTTACTGTGGATAATCGAATGTTACAAATACGCACCTCATGCTTAATAACATTTTTGTTACAGAGCTCTGCCGTGGACGAGCCATCTAATGACCCTAGTGGTAGTGTGGGCAGAGAAAATCATTCTGAACTTTGGAATGGAAAACTTGATATCTGGAAGCCTCTTACTTGTTTGGTAGAAGCAGCAAATAGAAGCAAATCTTCTAAGTTGAGCACGCAAGGTTCTGTTGTTAAACTCGAGGACCAACGTTCTTACGACAATGAGGGTCCTCTGGGGACAAATAAACATAAGGAACACCGTAGGAAGTCAAAAGTTAAGGACGAGAAAAACAGCAGTGACAATACACCTACGGAATCTGAAAGACCTAAAAAGTTGCGGAAAATCCGTCAGAAGGCACAGAATTTTGGAGAATTCAGGGTTCCACCCGAGGTGGTTGTGCTAGATGCTGCAAGTGCTAAATTAGAAAGAAAAAGCTATCCAATTTGGTTCTCCTTAGTGGCCTCTGATGAGCTGTAAGCAGATTATATCAACCCTCTTGAGAATAAATATTGTTACATGCACTGCTTTAGCTCAGTAGTTAATTTTTGTAATATATTTTCAGGAAAGGAGATGCTCCACCTCTGCCTCAGATTTCTGCAAGTTACTTGAGAATAAAGTTAGTTTTTCAGTACCTTCTGTCACTATATGTATTAAAATGTTGATATTTTGGTCCAGAAGTATGCATTTTGGCCTTTGGATTGTTTTTCGGGTTGCAATAATTATAGAATCATCATGCTGTAGAATTTGATAAGACCTCTTATGCAGTTGCTGGAGAAGAGGATGAATTACGCTTAGAAGTATTATTATTGTGGCATCCTCTCTGCAATAATGATATATGTGCTGATATGGTTCTGCATTGGCTTTTGATAATACAATGCTAAAGTTACTCTGGTTTGCTCCAAAATAACTCACCACATACAAATTTTCTTTAAGCATTCAATCACTCTGCATGCATATGGAGCCTTTCAGTGCCCGTCAACCTCTGTGCATTGGTTTTTGTTGTCTGTGACAGTTTGGCAACTTGTACAAGTGTATAAACTGCATAATATTATATTCCACAATCCTTGTTAAAATCAATTGCTATATTATTGGTGTTACACTGTTGCTCCATCAAATTTGCATCAGCGCTGTGATTATTACTCTTTCTTGCTGAAATTCTTGAAGCATCTACTGATTACCTGGTTTAAAGTCTGTGTAGCCAATTTTGTCCACTCATTTCTCACCATTTACAACAGTTAAGCTGCAGAAAATTACTGAGATTTGTGGCTGGGCTGGTTTAATTCAGGGATTTTTTGTTTTTTCAAGATGGGTTTGTGCTCTAAGTTGAGTGTTGTACTCGTTCATATATTCTACACTGTAGCTGCCGTGTCAGTTTTTTCATTTATTTATAAAAAGGTGTGATGTTTTTCAGTTACTTATGAGAAGTGGTTATTTGACTCCAGAAGAAAAACGGAGGTCTGAAATATATCATTTGTAGATCCTCTAAGATAATGCTTGTTACAGCTTGTGATGAATTAACAGTTTGTATATCATGATATAGTTTTCAGCATGGTAATTGTACGGATAAGTTTTGTTCAAGTTGCCCATGTCTCATCCTTCTACCCTTCTACTGCCTTGTATATTCTCCTTTATGAAAGAACTGTGTACTTCATTTAGTTCCTATGCAACTTATCGTTCATTATAATGTTTCAATCATGGATCATGTGATAACTAAATGCCATTTTATCGATAACTCATACATTCTTCTCAGGGATGGAAGCATACCGGTTTCATTTATACAAAAATACCTCCAGAGGAAGTTAGATCTTACCAGTGAAGTTGAGGTAACCTAATGCCCATGGTTAATGAGCTCCGACTTGTGTACTAACCACGGCTCATGTTTGTTAGATATGATGCCGAAAACAGTTTTTGTCGATCCCCTTAATCTAATTTCATCTTATTTTACTGAACATTTATTGCAAAGTTCCCTATTCCCTTATATAGGGATAATTACGAAAAGTATCTTCATGTTTGGCTTACCAAATAAAAATAATGAGGAAAAAGAACCTCATAAAACTACCATTACCTCTCTGGGTTTGCATTTGTTTCCTGTGTTATGCTCTTAGTAGGCGCAATTTGTACAGTAAAATCTTATAAATACATATTTGAGAGTTGGAAAAAAAAAGTATCTCTCTCGTTTTGGTCACCCCCTACATTTTCAAGTACTTAAGTTTGCTAGAAGTTGTCTGTTTTTGCAACAATGAGATTTTTTGTAAAGCCTCCTGTGATCACTGCAGGTTGATATCAAATGCATGGGGCAAACGGTTGTCCCCTCATTGCCCCTTAATAACTTGGTCGATCTTTGGCTTCAAAACACTAGTAGGGAGATAGTCTCAGCTACGGTTGGCTCGTCCGCTAAGGATTTTGTGATGGTGTTAGGTTATGCTCGCAGGCTAACCGATTCTTGACCGTTCTTTTTTTCTCATCTCTGAGTTTACATATATTATTGAAGTTTCATCAAAGGATGATGTTCGGTTCGGTGTTGTCTTTGTGAGCCATACTCGGAGAGTTGTTGTGAAGCCAATAATGGGAATGTGTGATTCATTAGCTTTCTAGGATGAGTTTGACTTGGCTATGTATGTTCTTAAATCATAATGTGGCATGTTGTATGTTTCATTTCAGTGTTGTAAAATATGATCCCTGTGGGATTTACATTTGACGTGTGTCTGAATTGACTTGAGCTTGGTCCACTTGGACATTTTGTACTAGAAATGCTCTTTGTTTGTGTTATACGTTAGTCTACTATAAAAGTTACATATAGAAACCTGTGATAAAAGGCAATGGCCTCATGGAGGGACGAGTGAAATTGTGATGCTATAGTCCGAAATTGCACAGATTTTATGAAGCTTTGGTTGCACGGAAAGAAAAGAAAAGATATAAACGACGAAACTCACTCAAATTTGATGTAGTCACAAAGTTGCATATCATAAAACTTTGGTTGCACGAAAAGAAAAGATATAAACTGAGACGAAACTCACTCAAATTTTATGTAGTAAAAAGTTGCATATTATATGAGCACGTAAAAGCCTGCCTAGCGAGTTATATACAAATCGGTGTTTTAAACACCAAAAGGGCTACCACAATAAGTTTCAGAATAAGAACTCCAAACGAGCGTGGCACATCCTGAGATAAATTTGCAGAGGCAAAACACAAAATACAATTACAAAGAAAAAGTACAATTTACAACACAAAATACAATTACAAAGAAAAAGTACAATTTACATCCGAATAAACACAAGGAAGAACCCAATATAGCAAATCCCATCCTTATTCAACAAATTCGTTATAATTCAAGCCACTAAGCCAAACCAACATGCCTCTCCCACCTCAGATCCTCAGAGAAACGGGTAAGGGCAGCTCGTGGGTCGCCATTTGATATGGACAAATAGTATTGTGCCGTGCCATCGTCGACTTGCATGCTCCTCCTCAAAGAGTCCAACACCCTCTTTTTGCCTCTTTCGGTGGACAGCCCACTCAAAAGCCCGCTCAGATTTCTGTCAAGCCCAGGCCCACCATCAAGGTACAGTACAGCAACCTCTCTTTTGGAATGGGTATCAATTTCAATATAGCATGTGGAATCCACCAGGATTTCAGGTTTGCTTACGGGGATCAGAAGCCGCTCCCTAGAGTATATTCCATGGTCACTCATCATGTTGTTCAGGCGCTTTATGTCCATAACCTGTTGATATAGGAAAAAAAATCATTCAGTAAAGAATTGCTTGAGATGTGACTTTACGATTTTGAATGAAATGGAAAATTTGGAGCTTCAAAAGTTGTGTGAGAATGATTGTTTAAATTCAAGAAAATGTATTCGAGCTTGAAGCTCAAATGAACTTGCAAAGATTATCTCGTGTTGAGTATCGAGTAACTTGATTCTCTTTTCAGCATACATACAAAGAGGCTTTGAATTATTATAAGAATACTCCTGAAAGAACAACAATATTAGGAGTTGGGACACATGGTGTAAGCAATCAATCCAGAATCTTTCATCTTAGCTGAACCATGGCAGACTTTGATGTACAAATGCGCTTCAGGCTCAAAAAGCCGTTAGCAAAAGTACAAATCCTAACGCAGGGCACGCAAAAAGGTTCGAGTATAATGTATTAATTACATATTCTCTATCTCTGATCTATAACTAAAATTTTAAAGCTATGCCGATCATGACAAAGGTTCGTAACTTTGACATTTTATAATTTAATGAGAGCCATTGTATATTTGCTCAACTTGATCTGTAGGAACATAAAGGTAAAACCCCCTGGAGTTCAAACTGATCTAGCCCGTAAACCATAAGTCTCAGAGATTGCTATATACACCACAAATTATCAAATCATTCCTCATATATCACAAGAAACTATGATTCATGACTTCATTGTTCACAGGCCACAGCGATAACTCACGAGCTAATTACAAAATATTATGAAATTTCTGTATGCATCTTCGAATAATTGAAGCAGCATCCATATGATAAACTCTATGTGGAGCTACTGTTAACACCCAGAAACTTAGATGAACTAACTTGTAAATCAACTTCCCTTTTCGTATTTCTTGATAAATTCTAAGACGACCAAGAAAAAAAAAAATCAATTTATTCACACCATTAAAAAATGCCAAACTCATATTAATCGAACATAAATTTTCAACCACTACACATAAAATAGCACCGATCATAGGAACATGACAGTACCTGAACGGAGTACTTCACGGCAAGGCTGGCCACGGAGTCCCCACGGGATACACGGTGAGAGACGGCGAATCTCGAGATGGAATTGTCTCTCCAGAACCCACCAGAGCTAGGTTTTCCAATGACGTCCCGAAGCTTCCATGGTGACATGAAGGCGCGAATCTGGATGTCCCTATCGGAGGCAACAGATCGCCAGAGGCGGCAGACGCAGGCGGAACGAGCTAGGTCAGGAAGGGACAGCTTCTCCAAGATGGTCCGGAGAGTGTCCTCGCACAATAAGGCCGAGAAATTGGAATTCATCGG